AGAAGTGGAGCAGCAAGAAAATCTAGAATGTGAACATGAGTGTCAATCACCTCATGTTGAGCTTCTAAAGTTTCCAAACACTAAAAAAAAATAAAATCTAATGTTATTTATTATTAATGTAAATAAAAAATTTTATGATTCGATTGATTTAAATACCTTGAAATCATAATTAAATGCAACTTTTCCTAAAACTTGTATGGTGGTTCTTTGCATTACTTTAAAGATATCAAATGGTTGGTCAACTATTTTATCAAGTAAATTTATCAAATCAATTGTTATTTTCCCAACAACTTCTGGGGAAAGTGCACGGTTAAATGCAGGATTTGCTATCCTTCTATGCGTAATCCATTTCTTTTGATTTATTTATATTTTTAAATAATTTTAACATTTTTTTTGCAAAAAAATTTTTTAACAACATGATTAAAAGTAATTGTTATTACTTACTTGTCCGTTAGAAAAAGATAAACCATCACCCAAAAATTTTCTTGTTGGGTGCTTGTCAGGAAGCGACCATTTTGGTAGCGCCTCAGCTATATGAAATAATGATGTTATTAGTATTAGTATCCAGTATAATGAAAGACGAGGCTTAGGCTATTTTAACAAAAATTGAACGTATTTCGTGCTTTGTGGTTGTTCGGTAGATATACATGCCATTACGTATGAGTATTGGTATACTAATATATACAAAATATAAATCATTTACCTGATTCCGATAAGAAATCTTTTGCATATTCATATTTTGAAATGAATACTTCCCAATTATTATAAATCCAAAACTAAATTTTTTTTTAAATGATATTTAATTAATTGACGCAAATATTCATTTAATTATTTAGTTATATTTTTTAAAGAATATAAAACCTACTTTAGAAAGTCCTTTGGTCTCAAATTTGGTAAACATGGCTTGAATTTCATCTTGTGGGGCTTTATGATATATTGCTTTAAACATTTCTATAATTGAAATAGTTGGAATATTTGCTAATTCTTTTGAATGGAAAAAAAGTTTTCGATGATAATATAATGCAAAAATAATAATTGAGGAAAAAATCGAAAAAATTAGTTCTTGAAACATTTTGATGTTTTTTTAAAATTGTTATAAAAATTCAGATCAACGTTTTTTTTCCTTGCTTTTATAATAATAAACTTTTATTAAAACAGATTAAAAAAGGCAATTGTTGTCGTTATTTTGTGAATGATAATAATAATTAATTGTTGCGGAATCGGTTAAATTACATCTTTGTTTTTTTTTTTTAGTAACAAAAATCCTAAGTTGGGATACGTGATTTAATCTCGGTAACACAAAAACAAATTTCATGCGGTAAATCAAGACAAAGTTGAATCCCAGAGACCGGCGAATTTATTTTTGTTTTTTTTTTACTATATACCTTGTTAAATTTTATAAGACCTCTAACCGAGAATGTTCAAACAAAGATGTATAACATATACTTGACCCTCAGCAAATATGTTCTCGTCAACATTCAACGTTACGTGTGGTAGGGTTAACCTTTGTGCCTTGTAAATGGTCAAGCCAAAAGTGTTCTAGAGGGGGAATTGTTTTCTCGATGCTTTCTTACCATCAATTTCAAAATTATTATCATTCACAAAATAACGACAACAATTGCCTTTTTTAATCTGTTTTAATAAAAGTTTATTATTATAAAAGCAAGGAAAAAAAACGTTGATCTGAATTTTTATAACAATTTTAAAAAAACATCAAAATGTTTCAAGAACTAATTTTTTCGATTTTTTCCTCAATTATTATTTTTGCATTATATTATCATCGAAAACTTTTTTTCCATTCAAAAGAATTAGCAAATATTCCAACTATTTCAATTATAGAAATGTTTAAAGCAATATATCATAAAGCCCCACAAGATGAAATTCAAGCCATGTTTACCAAATTTGAGACCAAAGGACTTTCTAAAGTAGGTTTTATATTCTTTAAAAAATATAACTAAATAATTAAATGAATATTTGCGTCAATTAATTAAATATCATTTAAAAAAAAATTTAGTTTTGGATTTATAATAATTGGGAAGTATTCATTTCAAAATATGAATATGCAAAAGATTTCTTATCGGAATCAGGTAAATGATTTATATTTTGTATATATTAGTATACCAATACTCATACGTAATGGCATGTATATCTACCGAACAACCACAAAGCACGAAATACGTTCAATTTTTGTTAAAATAGCCTAAGCCTCGTCTTTCATTATACTGGATACTAATACTAATAACATCATTATTTCATATAGCTGAGGCGCTACCAAAATGGTCGCTTCCTGACAAGCACCCAACAAGAAAATTTTTGGGTGATGGTTTATCTTTTTCTAACGGACAAGTAAGTAATAACAATTACTTTTAATCATGTTGTTAAAAAATTTTTTTGCAAAAAAAATGTTAAAATTATTTAAAAATATAAATAAATCAAAAGAAATGGATTACGCATAGAAGGATAGCAAATCCTGCATTTAACCGTGCACTTTCCCCAGAAGTTGTTGGGAAAATAACAATTGATTTGATAAATTTACTTGATAAAATAGTTGACCAACCATTTGATATCTTTAAAGTAATGCAAAGAACCACCATACAAGTTTTAGGAAAAGTTGCATTTAATTATGATTTCAAGGTATTTAAATCAATCGAATCATAAAATTTTTTATTTACATTAATAATAAATAACATTAGATTTTATTTTTTTTTAGTGTTTGGAAACTTTAGAAGCTCAACATGAGGTGATTGACACTCATGTTCACATTCTAGATTTTCTTGCTGCTCCACTTCT